TAAAATATATTACCTTAATTTCAGTAGGAAATGCATCAATTATCTGCAGAGAAATATTTTGTGCAACTTTTATTGACATTGGTTTTTCATGTCTCACCATATAAGCAATAATTATTTCAACCAAAATATTCCTACATATATCATTGAGTTTTCCATGATTATTGAAATAATCGACAATTAATTTACCTAAAAAATTATTAATTTGTAATTAGAAAAACCTACCTACCTAGAACTTTTGCAAATATAACCGAAATAAAATATAATTTAATAAATTTCTTAGTTGATAGACCTAATCTGCATATCAGATAACTTATAAAATTAAATAGAGTTTATCATATATTGGATTTACAAAAAAAAACAATAAATATTAAATACCTTATACATATACACAGTGTAACAGGACTATTGTAAGACATTTTTTTCAATTGAATATTTTTAAGTTTATTTTAAAAGAATTTTTATTACATATTTTTGCTGTAATTTAAATAACTTTTAGTTCAATTTTAAGTTAGTACATTAGTTAAATAGTCCTGTTACACTCTACATATAAAACTGTTTTGTCACTTTTACCTTGGGAACAGTCATTGAATACGCTTACTAAATTAAACAATGGTTTTTCATTTTCGTTCAAACTAATAGACATGTGATCTTTAACAACATTACTTTTTGTCATTTGATTTTCACTAGAATTAGTATTGTCAACATTGATAGTATTTTGCCAAGATTTTAAACAATTCCAAAACTTTATTTGTATTCCATATGGGAACGAGGATAATAGTTTTTCTGACTGTATTTGAGACATAGACTTTAGTATGTTTATATCAATTAGTTCTTCTGTAATATCAAATCAAGATAAAAATAATTGTTCATGCACAGAAGCTAAGTCAAAAGGTGATAAGTCTTTTTTATAAAATTAACTTTTAAAATTTGGGTACTTACTCAAACATGTATCAACTATGTCATTTAAATTCCAACTTATTAGTAGTCGTTGTACATCGGATGAATCTTCTTCTGACAAACTTAATTGGGAATCAGATGTTTGATATTGTGGTAAGATATTTGTTTCAGGTTCTGATGCTATCATGGATGCTACACTGAGGCTTTCATCGTGGTCGAGATTGTGGCTTTGGACATTCATTGTTGGAAATGTTGTCTGTGATACAGCTATATTATTGTTATTTTGAGAAAAACTAATGTTGTTTGGAAATGTATATCCGCAGTCTTGATAAAAAGAGCTAAAGTCATTGTTAATATTTTGCATTTTCCTATCCTAAATAAAACACTTAAAATTTATGTTATGTAAAAAATATAGACACAAATACAATACACAATTTGGTAGGTATATACACATAATGTATTATGTTTTTTAAGAAAGGTACTAAAATATATTAATAATCAATTATAAATATTCTTTTGCCCTAATAAGTGTCTGCCCATTAGCAAGTTTAGAAATATTGATTGGAAAACTATGAAAATAAGTTATATCATTGACATTTTGCATTGATATAATTTTGCTACAATCCACAATATAGGACTCATAATGAGGATGAAAATATTCAACTTTAATTTGTTGTGTTAAGAGTTTAACTTTTTCTTCATTGTGAATCATAATAATTTCAATAATTTCATGTAAACACATATTATCACTAACAAAATCAGTTAAAAAATAACCCCTTTTATATGATGTACCTTTATAATCAATTTCTCTATAACTGGTGAACTGAGAGTCTAATATATTTAATGAATCACAAACAAAGGCACTATGTTGGCTTAAGACAATATCTTTTTCTTTTAACACAATTATAGGCATATGTTGTTGAATGAGTAGGAATGCAAATTTTAATTGAAACTTTTTTGCTAATGTTAAAGTTATGTGTTTTCTAGAAGTTGTTGCATGAGCATACAGTTTTAATTCTTTGTGTTTTGCTTCGAAACGAAAGCACCAATAGTGACGGGGTGGACCAGAATATTTTATAATTGAAGGGTAGTGAATTAATAAATGATGTTTTGGCTTAAGATTATCTCCAAATAGTAAAACATAACTAATATTATGTTGTTTTATAAGCTGTTGTAGTAATATTATTTTTTCTTCTGTAAATGTAAATGATAGTAATAAATCTATAATTTGAACTAAAACTAATACAAATGCCCAAATTTCATCATTTTCTGGTATCAGGTCTCCAATTATTAATGGAAAAAAAAAAACAAATGACATCATTTCTCTAGCAGACATTTTAAGATGAAATTTATCTAAATGTTTATTTTTAATAGGGGGGCTAATATTTCCTACTTCAATTGTTCCATACTCAAAATTAGATTTGCGGCGATTTAATGTTTCTAAAGAAAAAAGTTTCAAATACTCTATATAATATTTAATAACATGGCACAAATCATAATGACAAACACCCTCAAACATATCATGCATAACATCAACAAAATAGTTAGTAGTGACATGAAATGAAGGTATCTTGTTTAAGAGAGATTCCTTATAAACGCCTGTCAATGAAAAATTATCAGTTATTATATCTGTGTTATAATTATTTGTGTTTCTTAATAACTCAAAGTTTTCTATGCTCATATTATGTGACTCGTTTTTATGTACTTTACAGAAACGACAAAAATGATTAGCTGAAAATGATTTGGAAAATTCTAGAAAACTATTTATACCTAAGTTATCACCCAAAATAATGGCCAAAATAAAATGAACATGTATATTGCCTTTAGATGTTGAGATTGATAAACCTTCTTGTTCTAGAAATATAATTGCATCTATTAATTGGTTAAAGCACACATCATTTCCAAAGTCTTTCACATCCTTAAATTTTAGCAACCCAGCTAAAAATATGTTAGAAAGTTTAGAAGAGTTCTCTAGTACAGGAAAACTATAATATATAGCTGATATCATTTGGATGGTGGCATGAGATCCTAATGGATTATTTATCTCAACATCATCGATATATAAAAAGAAAGGTATAACAGTCTTGTTTTGAAAGTTTAATACTTTTTGTTTCCATAATTTTCCTTGGATAAAATGTGATAAGACATTATTTGGTTTATTTAACTCATTAATTTGGCTTAAAGTTTTTATAAGGTTATCATTGTGTTCAAAGTATCTTTTGAATTGAAATTTCAGTGGTAAAAGTATACCTTTCGTTATTTGTTCATCATATACCACATCACCTGACTGTCTGGTTATACCAATTTCATTATTAATGATAAATTGTTGGATATTTGTTGCAAAATTATTTTCAGTAAGCCATTTATTCAATAGATACTCAGAGTTGCAAAATTTAAAAGGATTGGAAATAACTGATGTTACATTATTAAATTCTAACAACAACATTGGATCTTTAATATTTGATTTAACAAAATTATCTAAAATAGTAACAATAGGTTTAATTATGTTATCTGCAGTATTTTTCTGGATATTTAATATATCTCGACGAGTAAAATTATTATTGTTATGCAAACTCAAAGTAAATTCAACAGCACACTTATAAACTAAATAAGATGCTGTGTTCACGTCAAAAGGTATAGGTGAATTGTTAGGTTGAAAAGTGTCACAAAGTAATTCGTCGTCAGCAGAAATATTATCAGTAAGTAAATGAGTGGCCGAATTAGAAATATTAGCTGACGTTTCGATTTCATTTATAGGCAAATTGATTAAGTGCTTAGTATTTACATGTTTTTTAAAACTATTTAAG